CCGTAGGGTTCAGGACTCACGTTCGCGTTGCTGAGAGCCAGCGAGCTGGCCAGCAAGGCGATCACCAGGGGCACGATGCTCTGAGCCATTGTGGAGACGGAGAGAGGATGCAGCGGGGAGCGGCGGTGTCCTGGAGTGGTTCTGGAGGTTTCCTGAAGGTCTCCTGGAGGTGTCCTGGAGGTCTCCTGAAGGTCTCCTGAAGGTCTCCTGAAGGTCTCCTGGAGGTCTCCTGGAGTGGTCCTGGAGTGGTTCTGAAGTGGTCCTGGAGTGGTTCTGAAGGTGTCCTGGAGGTCTCCTGAAGGTCTCCTGAAGGTCTCCTGAAGGTCTCCTGGAGGTGTCAGACGGAGTGATGTGGCTGCTTGAGATTCATCGCCTTTTTATGGCGAGCGGCGGCGTGAGGTCACCGCCCTCCAGGGTCGCGGGGAACCTCGAAACCATCGCCCCGGGGAGGGGAGGCACGCCCAGCTCGCATCATCTAATGACCATGACCTCCTCAACTTCCTCCTCCACCCCACTCCTCCACCTTCTCCTCGACCTCCTCCTCCTCCTCCTCCTCGACCTCCTCCACCTCCTCCACTCCCTCCATCCTCCACTCCCCTCCACCTCTACCTCCATCCCCTCCTCCACCTGCTCCATCCTCCACTCCCTCCACCACCTCCTCCACCTCCCCTCCCTCCTCCACCACCTCCACCTCCTCCACCTGCTCATCCTCACCTCCCTCCACCCCTCCACCTCCTCCATCCTCCTATCCTCCACTCCATCCACCTCCTCCACTCCCTCCTCCTCCATCCTCCTCCACCTCCTCCACCACCACCACCTCCTCCACCTCCTCCTCCACCACCTCCACCATCCTCCACTCCCTCCACCTTCACCTCCTCCACCTCCTCCTCTCTCCCTCTCACGACGCCTCTTAAGATCATCGTTTATCGACGATGACGCCTCCACTGTTGGTGGGGGGGGGGGTTAGGGGGGGAAGAAAGACGGCTGTGTAGGCGTTGGTTGCTGACCACCCATCCCATCATGCGTCACTCACTCACCCACTCACTCACTCACCACACACACACCCACTCACCCACACACCCACTCACACACTCACTCACCCACACACTCACCCACACACTCACTCACACACTCACCCACACACTCACCCACTCACACACACACTCACCCACCCACTCACTCACTCACACACTCACCCACTCACTCACCCACTAACACACTCACACATCTCTGTGGGTCTCTATGTATATCTTTGGGTCTCAATGCATATATGTGGGGCTCTGTGTATCTCTGTGGGTCTCTGTGTATCTATATGGGTATCTATGTATCTCTATGGGTCTCTGTGTGTCTCTGTGGGTCTCTGTGTATCTCTGTGGGTCTCTATGTATCTCTGTGGGTCTCTACGATCTTTGTAATTTCCACGCGAAGACGACGATGATGGTGATGGTGATGATCACAAGCCTCTTGCTTAGCAGCTGTCAATCCTTGGTGGCTCAGATCGCTTTTGAATTTTTTTTTTACTTTTTAAACCTAGCTGACGACCCAGTAGTTCAGTGGAAGTTTCCCACCCGGTTAAACACACGAATAGTTTCTTATAAATTTCGATTTAAAGCTTTCGTGACTGCAGGATTCATCTCTTGGTTTCTTTCGGTAAAGTCACGTAGAAGGGAAGTAATAAAATAATAAAAATAAAACATTATAAAATAACGCAAGCAGCCGTCCTGAGGACGAAACGTCGTGAGAATTGTATTTTATCCATGTTTTATATTTATTATTTCCCTTCTACGTGACTTTACCGAAAGAACCAAGAATAAGTTTCTTATGAGTTCGGCTGCTGCTGCTCTTGCCTAAAAATAACACAAAATAATCACGGCAATTTCCCTCCAGCGGTGTTATTTAAAGAGGTCACACGGGGAGGAAGGTTTGATTTTGTTTTTTAATCTTGACGGGGGTAACGATGCAAACTGAGCGATTAGCGACTGACGCCTTCGTGTGTTCTATAAATACAGACGACGAGATCGGTGACTCGGGGCGACCTCTGTGTCTGTGTGTGTGTGTCTGTGTGTGTGTGTCTGTGTGTATGTGTGTGTGTGTCTTAATGTGTGTGTATCTGTCTGTGTCTTACTGTGTGTGTGTATGTGTGTGTCTGTATGTGTGTGTATGAATTTCATCATCGCTTGCAGCTGGGGTTGGCATCGTCCCCCACTCCACCTGATGTTGAGGGGAAATGGGCGAGGTTTATGACCTGTGACTCATGCAGCTGCAATGGCTGCTTTGGGTACGCGGTCCAGACCTCCCCAGAAACCCTGGCTGACAGAGGAGGTGTTCAGGTTAATTGAGAAAAAGCGACAGGCCCACTCTCATCGGTTACAGCATCCCACGTCAGAGAATGAGGAGGCTTACCGCAGCCT